GCCTTAGGAGTACTGCTGCTGCAGGGGTAATAATATTCCACGGGATACGAATCGTGCCTCCGGTGGCACTTGACGTCGACAACCGCCGCATTCTGATCATCCGCCGCCGCCGCCGCCGAGGGGAGAGAATCGTACCGCCGGAGTTTTCTGCTCCTGTTGATGCTCCTGCACACCAGGGGAATCAGACCTTCCATTATTATTATTGTTTCTTCTTTTCTTCTTTTTCTAGACACAGATAGGCTTGAAGGAGAAGAGAAATGAGGAATGAGGAGGAGCCTTTGGTGGGGGGAAAATCTGCCAATTCAACTCACCAATCCATTAAAAAAAATGACTTTTATCATTTATCCATGTTCTCCTCTTGACTTTTTTATTCATTTGCTTCCCAACAAAAAATGTCCTCTGAATCTAAAAGGAGTATTTGAAAAATAAGGACATTGTAGTTCAATACTTCAATGATGCTCTTATGGGTTTCTCAAAGGAGAGATTATGTGTTCGATATGATCCTATGTGCACACATTATATCTACTGAGTTTCAATATGTTTACAATGTATGAGTAGTTATTACCTTGTAATAGAGTTATTAATGCTAAAAAAAAGAAGTTTTTAAAAAGGAGTTCAAAAAATAAAAGTATATTCTCGTCTTTTGAAACCTCTCGTCATTTGAAATTATTTTACTTACAAATTGGCACATCAATAAAAAAATTATAATTACATATTAAAAAATTACGTCAAAAGTTTTACAAAGTGAGATGTGACAAGAATATTTTATTTTATCAAATACTTAATGAAAATATACAAATGAACAAAAGTAATCGAGAAGACAGAGAAAAAAAGTATAATCTATTTAGTAGTAAATAAGAATACACAATAGAGATAAATAATGTGAACTATTCACTCTTTATTTAAATGAAATGAAAACATGTTTTTGAGACAATTAAAAAAGAAAACAGAACTACTTTTTTAAGACATGAGAGTATGGAATTTTAATGTATACTCCGCATGTCATTTGGTAAAATAATATAATTAGACCATATTTAATTCTAGGAAGATTTTAATGTTATTTTTGAATATTTAATTCATTTTAATTTTTAGATTGATAGACTCCGTCTCAAAAAATCATTTACAGTTTGACTTTTTAGTCAAATTGTTATACACTTTGACAATAAACCATAGCAAAATTATATTTAATTATAACATAAATTTTTAATGTGTAATCAGATTCAACTTAAAATGTATTTTTGACATAAGGGCATTAAACTTTATAACATTTATTTATTTTAAACTCTATTAGTTAATGAATAAATTGTATAGTTGTTTGAACGAAAGAATTAAATTATAATCCGTAAAAAAAATGTTGTGACGAAACGAATATTTAGTTTTATTTTTTTTGAACCAAACATCCTAATTCCTAACTCAAATTTATTTTGGAGATTTGGTTATCGAATGACGTCTCACCTATAGGGGTGGACACGGTACCGGTACGGTACCGTGACCGGCAACGGTACCGCCTGTACCCGTCACCGTCACCGCCGGCCGGGACGTTCCACCGGTTCCGGGAACCGGTACCGGAACCGTCTCATCCGGTACCGGTTCCGGTACCCATTTTTCGGTACCGGCACCGGCGGTTCCGGTTCCGGTACCGTTATTAATTTTTTTTATTTTTATTTTTTTATTTCATTCTTTCCTTTATCAATTTCATTTTTAGATTTTTTTATTTCATTTTTTCCTTTAACAATTGCACATTTACAATTTTACACTTTAAAAATTTAATAAAAAAACAAAAAAAAAAAAAGAAAATTGGGGGTGGCCGAAACCGGCCGGTTCGGTACCGGAACCGCCGGTCCGGGAACCGGAACCAGTACCGGCCGGTCCGTTACCGGTACCGGTACCAAGGGGTGGCGGTACCGGAACCGTCCTGGAACCGTACCGTGTCCACCCCTACTCACCTATAACTGGACCGTCTAGAAGGCTAGAACGCACATAGTCTATTTTACTTGACGCGTTGCGTTGATTCAATAGTCCGTCTACCAATCTTTTCCAATACACATTTGATGAATGGAAAATGCTAGAGTCACAAACATATATATTTCACAAACTTGTCTTTTGTGGATTTTAAAATGAAATATCTTTTATTATTTGAGTGTATCTTATTTCTAGAAAAGTGTTAAAAAAGCAAGTTTGTGAATTTTGTGAACTGGTTGGTTGTGACTCTAGCATTACTTTTGATGAATTGTACCAAAGGCATCACATCAATTAGTTCAAGGCAAGATTGACAAAATAAAAAGAGTAAATTATATAAAAGGTCCCTAGTTATAGGTCGTTTTACATATTTAGTCCCTACATATCAAATATTACTAATTTAGTCCCCAATTATTATATTTATTTCCACGAATGGTCCTTTGTTAACATTTCCGTTAAGAACGTGGATAAAATTGTATATTCATACTTCTCTCTCTCCTCAATTAAGCTTTCTTCATCTTCTCATACTCTTTCCCAAACTCGTCGCTGAGTTTGAAGCTCTTAAACCCAAAATTTAAATGATCGTTCCTCCAGTTAGACAAACAATTGAGAGAAGAGTGATGATTTTGGTTTTGGATTCAAAGCTAGAAATTCAGCGACGGGTTTGAGAAAGGAGTACAAGGGAGGAGAAAGCTTAATTGAGGAGAGAAAGGAGTGTGAATTTATAATTTTATCCACGTTTTAATGAAAATGTTAACAAATGACCATTCGTAGAAATAAATATAATAATTGGGGACCAAATTAGTAATATTTGATATGTAGGGACTAAATATGTAAAACGACCTATAACTGGGGACCTTTTATGAAATTTACTCAAATAAAAATGTATATTTACTTTTTGTTATACTCTTATCTCTCTCATTATTTTTGTTTACTTTTACTTTGTTCCATTAATTTTTCGCATATCACATTTAGGCTCTTTTGGAATTTAGCTGTTGGCTGTTCACTGATAGCTGTTCGTGTTGGCTAGTTTAAATGACTAGTTGAGTTGACTGATTTGATCAATCGAAATAAAACATTGTTTGGAAAAATTAACTTTTTTAAAAATAGATTTTATAAATTAAATTAAATTTAATAACAATTTTACCTATATAATTATATGGTATAACATGCTTTGCAATATATATTCTTTTTTTCCTCAAATAAAATTATAAGCTATATATTGTTCTAAGATTGTTATGATTTTTTTATTTATGTATTTTTACCGATCAACTGATGTAATGATATAATTATACGAAGTATCATATTTTGTTTCAAAAATTTTTTGATGTAGTTTTAAATATATAATTTATTTAATTCTACACCAAGTTCTCGAAAAAATTATTTTTTTCTCGCAAATCGATTCATGAATTTTACATGGGGAATGACTATTGATTTATTTACTTACTATTTATTTATTTATAGATTATTTACTTATGTATTTATTTAGTTATTAATTGATTTATTTATTTATTTATCAATTTTTTTATTCAACTACGCAACAATTAATTATTTTTATTTAATAATAAAATTACTTACAATAACAAATAATATATTAAAATATATTTTCCAACAACCAAAGCGAAATGCTACTCCCCGTAGTTTTTTAAAGTTTGGTTTTTCGGACTCAAACAAACAACCTTTGCACCCAACTACCAAACACTCTTTTTGATTGTTTGACCAGTCAAACCCGCTAAAATTGGTCAAAACAAACAAAAGCCATCATAAATGCCAAAAACCAAACATGCATTTAGTTATTTTTGTATTATTCGCATTAATTCTTGCTTTTAATGATATTTTCAATGCTATTAATCCTATTACAAGGTAATATTTGTTCATATTATTTTCAACCTAATGACGCACCAAGAGTCAATGCTTTTGCATTTCTGCTGGGGTTCGAACCTGTGTGAGCTTCCCCATGAATCCTGGGGAGTGAGTTTCTTACCACTAAAGGCAGGAGAGAAGTTTTGCTTTTAATGATTAGTGGGACTAATTTTTTTTTCTCCAAATTTTGGCGGGTTTGCACACTTTAGTTACCTTTTAGGGTATCTAATCGGGCTGGCAAAGTCACTAGTTATCAGTTGAATCAATCCAAACGATCAGACCAGTTTGGTTGCTCCAACCATGCTAAAATGGCGTGTTATATGTTAAAATTTGACAAGCCAAGCAATTTTTTAAGCTCCAAGGGGCTTGTCAATTTTGACAAACTTGTTAAAAAACAAAAATGGCTTGCTACCAATAGCAAGCTTAGTAAATTATAGCAAGCCAAAAAGAAGAACAAAAATGTTGATTGGGTTACTTGTTTTCATGTGATGTGCCACAACGCATTTGTTCCCTCATGTTCAATGCCACAATGCAAGAAGAAAAATAAAATTTATTTTATTTTTTTACTAAAAAAAATAATTTTTTTTTCTAGAAAAAAAAATTCTGTTTTTTTACAAAAATAATTAAAAAAAATTAGTATTTTATTTTAAATTATGATTTTTAAATTGCATACTTACAAAGTTACTTTATATTTATAAATCAAATAATAAAATTTAAAAATTATTGTAAATAGTGCACCATAATGGTGAAATCAATATATATTAACTAAATTATAGCAAGAGAAGGTTGGAGATGACAATGCAAGACATGTTTAGCAAGTGTGGTTGGAGATGTTCTTAAGTGTTAGTTTGGCACTAGATTCATCGATTAGTATTAACATTTTTTAAAAAGATTATGTAACGATAGCACATAACTTCAGCATTTTTAAAATTAATCTAAACTAGTACAAATAATTCAAAAAGATAATCCTAATCGGAAATGTTATTTCCAAATGAAACCTAACAAACGGACCATAACTTAAGTGTAGATTTGCCATGATGTTTCAATTGAAAAACAACACCATTACAAGCAGAGAATCCTCACCACCAAGCAAAAAAGCTTTACTCAACACTTTTGACACCAAAAATAGATTTTACATGCAACTTGTGCCAGTAATTTTTCACAAACATTTCACACATGAAAGACATATAAATTTCTTTTTTTATACCAAAGGTTATATGCACCAAGAATTATGATTTTTATCCAAAACAGAAACAATAATATGTCAGATCATGAATAGCATTGCACAATTTTTTAAAAAATGTCAAAGAATCTCACACAGCAAAATTCATCCTAGAACATGAAGAAAACTTTCAAATTTTCTACAAATAAATACTTAAGTTCCAGCATTTCTATGAATAAAATTATCAGCCCCGTTACTGGGTTGTAGTACAACGTTACGTGTGTGATACACGTTGCGAATCATACAGTACTAAAAACTACGAAGAAAAAAAAGTCTTTTTTTTGCATCAAAGATTCCAATCTGAATCTGCAGAAGAACCCAGGCCTCCTCCTCCACAATCATCAGTGAATATGGACTCTGCACAAGAACTAGGCCTTTGTGGAAACATCTTTTCCACCCCATTGTTATAAATGCAAGGTTCCTGGTCAAGAAATTCAGGCAATTTAAGCACTTTTTCCATCACAAGATCATCACTATCTTCAAAACTCTGGGCTGGTTTGATCTGATGATCATCAGAGCAAAACACATTGTCTTTTTCTTCATCATCATCATCATCATCATCATTATCTTCTTCATCTGGCAGCCACCTGCAGCTATCCATGGCAGGGATTCGGCTAAGGGACACGTCCCTCCATGATACTCTAATGTTAGACTGAGATGCATTCCCAGTTGAGGATTCTGAAAGGCATGACACAGAAGTGTCCCCAGGTTTGTGACATCCGGTGATGTGGCCCACGAAACTGAATGTCGTGGTTGAATTACAGTTACTGAACTTGAAACTCGTCCTCGGATCATCAGAATCTGGCATCTGATTCTGAGCTGATGATGACAAGCTTGCGCTGCGAAGAATGTCTGTCGCCTCATCAAGCTCATATTGAAACCCAAGATCACAATCCGAGTTGGGGGTCTGAATCACATTACCACAACTCAGAGTGCTTGTTGAATGTGGAGAATCGCTTTTCTCAACTCTACTTGGATTCGAACTAGTAGGGGTATGTTCTGGGTACACACACCCTCCCAAGACCCTACCTTCGTGGGGTTTTATTGGGTTTATCGTTATACTCGGATTCGAGCCCATTAAGCCACAAAATTGGCCATTTCCTGGTTTCTCTGAAGGAGAAGATGACATCCAACACATTGAGGCCTCAACAGGCAAAGGAACAAAAGAAGTTCTTGACTTGTTGTCACTCTCACTGGACTTCCCAGACCTGGATGATAAATCTAGGACAGGTGCTACAGTAAGAACCCCTCTGGGCCTGCATTTTCGTTTATCCGTGACCCCCGAGAGGACGTGCCCTGCACCATAACAAGGGGTTGCTGCAGAAGCCGTGGCCGGCTTCTGGGACAACCCATATGGAATCTCAGGAGACACTGAGGGCTCAATTGGAGGAGTTTTAACGACGCTTGCGCTGGAATGGGTTGATTCATCTATCCTATTCCCATCAATATTAGCACAATCTAAACCCGACCCGGATGCAGATTTCCCAACAGGGGTACGATCTTGAAAATCAGAAGAACTGTTGCTCATGTTAAAAAGCTGGTTTGGCTGCTTACCTGAATCATTTCCCAGGGGTTTCGGATTGCCCTTATTTGCAGAAATCAGTCGAGACCCAAATCTGGATTTCTTCCCTGAACTGGCCAGATCAGCGCGGTGACCGGGTTTTTGAGAAGTTCTGGGCATGGGTTTCTTCCCCGACCGCCATGGAGCGTTCTTTTGGGGCTTTTGTAAAGTGGGTCTGGGGGAAATGTTCTCTTTAGAACAGTTCGAGTTCAGATTTGCACTCTTTGTGCTGAAAATGGGTTTGGGTTTTTTCTGCGGGGCGCTCTTGGAAGATGCAGAAGATGAAGTTCTGGAAGGGGGTAGAAAATGAAGACAAGATTTCGAAGCTTCAACAGTTGAAGAAGAGGAAGAAGAAGAAGAAGAAGAAGAAGAAATGTTGGTAATTCTGGAGGACAATTTGGGGGCTTTATTGAAACATAGCAATGGACCTCTCTTCTGAGAGCTCTCTATCTCCTTCTTCCTCTTCATCTTCTTCTGGAGATCTGCATTCATTTCTACAGCTTCCGGGTGATGAAGGAAACAGAAAGATGAGAACTTTAAGTTTCAAGAAAGGAAAAAATCATCCAAGGAGGCATTGATTTGGCAAAGCTTGGCGGATCTGATGTCCAGTAGTGTGAGATTGAAGAAGGGCGGGGGCTCTTGCCTTTTGGGAGATGAGGGGTAGTTCTTTTTTGTTCTTTTGTGGCAACGGCTACTGCAAAAAGATGAAGAGAACATTTCAACATTCTCATTTCTTTTGAGTTTTGCCCCATGTACAGTGCCATTTGAGCAGCTTTGGATTTGAAAACCATCTCCATCTGGATTACGGGTGGTTGATAATACGTAGTAATTGATTAACTCAATTACACAATACTAAGGCCCGCCCCGTTCCGTTCAACTTATTTTTTCTTATTTTTTCTTATTCTTATTAAAATTAGATCAGATCAGATCATATTGAATCAGATCAGATTAGATCAGACCAGATCAAATCAGATCCCATCAAGAATTATTATTATTATTATTACTATTATTATTACTACTGATGGATATAATCCACTAGTACCACCCGGCAAGTTCACAGGCGCCCAGGGGTACCAAATTCTAGCCCCGCCTGACGGCACCAACCCCGGGAGACTGACCGGGTGGAAGTCACAAGCGCCCGAGAGATCCAAAGTCTGACCCCACATAACCTCACCAACCCCGGTAGACTGACCGGGTGGATGTCAGGGGTCAGACATGTGAGATCGTGACTTCATTCGCACAAGGCCTGAAGTCTACCCAGGTGGATAACCTGAATACTGCCCGGGTGGATGACCTGAAGACTGCCCGGGTGGATGACCTGAAAACTACCCGGGTGGATGATCTGAAGACTGGATGGCTTGAAGACTGACCGGCCGGAAGAACAGGAACGTCGGGACGTGCTTGACGTGCTTGTTTTTATTATAAATACCCCTAAAAGCCTCATTTGTGAGGCATGCTTTTAATTAATCCACACGGCCTGTACTATTGTAATAGTACCTATTATCATTAATAACAAGCCGGGTTACAGGTGTTTCCACCTACAACCCTTTCGATTATTTGTACTTAGCATTTGCGTGGTAATTTACACCATCAAATTGGCGCCATCCGTGGGACCTCTTTACAAAAAGAAGCCATGACGAACAACAATATAGAATCCACCCCGGTGGAAGGTGTTACCTTGATCCCGGGAGGAATCACATCATTAACTTCTCTTTTCTCCCCCATGATCACCACATTTACTACTCAAACAACACCCAATCAAGCCTTCCAAAACTTTGGACAATCTATGCCCATTTTCCAACAACCCGGGAGATTTACTCTTTTCATCCCTGGGATGTATCCCCATGCTCTAGCTCAAAATACATCACTTCCTAACACGCTGGGGCATCCCCCGTCGTTTCAACCGGCCAGTACCACCCGGTTGGTCATCCCGACAAAACCACCCGGGGAGCTGGAAAGGGCAGCCCCTTCTCGGTCTAGGAGGAGCAGATCCCACAAGCTCCACACTCAGGTCACACCCGACGGGGGCGTGCGCTCTGTGCGCAGTAAGGATGAAGACTGTGATATTCCCAAAGGCCAGAAAAAGCTGCAGGGCAAAGCCGTCCAGCCAGAAGGTTCACGACGGTCAGCGTTCCAGAGGCTGGGACATGAGGGGCGGAACCAGAACCGACCGGCCAAGGAGCGGTTGGGGTGAAGGTTCCAATCAAGGCAAATTCTACAGACTAGAAGGTGGCAGGCGACCCAGTCAGACCGGACACTTTGACCCTCGCCTCTGTGATGAGCCCCAACACAGCAGGGTGCCTAGAGCGGAGGGCCAGGCGGAAAGCCAGCCTAGAGTGACGATGCGCACACATGCTGAACCACCCAGCAACCAGGTGGACAGAGCGGAAGAACGTTTGAAGAGGCTCTTGAAGAGAGTTCGTAGGGAGGAAAAGACGAAAGTGGTGTTGAACAACCGTTTTATCATCCGCTAAGACCGGATATGTACCATGCCAATGTTCAATAAAGTTGATACTTTTTCAGAAAAGATGGTATGACCGGTAGGGGAAGGTTGCTGACCCATCTGCCCGGTCAGTGTTCAATCGAATTGATCATCACAAAACTGCTCGGGCGGAACACCATACTTTTTCAGAAAAGATGGTATGACCGGTCGGGGAGGGTTGCAAACCCGTCCGCCCGGTCAATGTTCAATCAAATTGAACTAAAAAAATGATATGTGACACAGGTCCGGCCTGGTACGCTGGTCTCACACCAGTCTTGCACGTATTAAAAAAACTGCTACCCAGTCGAACTGGTACACTGGTCTCACACCGGTCTTGTGCAGTATAAATAAAAAAAAGAAAATATGTGACCCAGTCAAACTGGTACACTGGTCTCACACCAGTATTGCACAAATTTTCTAACAAGCCTGAGCCCAATCGAATTGGGTACACCGGTTGCACATCGGTTTCAGCAAAAAAAAAAAAGAGCCTGGTCAGACTAGGAACATCGGGCCTACCCCGATCTTCGATATCTTTCCCTGAAGACTTTTCACCTGGGCAAAGTCAGGGTGAACCTACCTACCCAGGATGAATAAAAAAACAAAACTGCCCACCCGATCAAGATTCAGACTCAGGTGAGTGACGGGGTCACGATGGATTTGCTTAATTTGGCTCGGAGGACTTTTTCAAGAATATGTTCCCCCGTTTGCATGGTTGAGGCCATGAATGGAAAGAATTGATTGCCTTGCTCACTCGGAGGACTAGAACTATTGTTCACCCAGGTGAAAAAAGAAATGACTCACATGATCAACTTTGAAGCATTGCCCGGGCATGCTCTGTCAAAACCCACCCAGGTGGCTTATTTCCTACTCAGGTAGAAAGAATGGTGAGATGCGTTAGACCGGGTAGATACAGCTCGGCCGTGACCAAAGAGATTGAGAGTTCGAACAACCGGGTCAAAATCCTGCAGCCGGTAGCTCAAGATCCCGTACAGCCCACGGTGCTTTTGGTACTGACCGGTCTCAAACCCAAAGATCCCAATGTCATCAATCAGCTGCTGGAACACTTGGAAGAACCGAATGCCGACCTCCCGGTCAGAAAGTGCCTGGGCAGTGAACTCCTCTGGTTTCTGCGCAGCCCAAGTAGTGGCGTGAACAGCCCGGTCGGAGCGCTCCCTCTCCAGCTCAGCCTTTAGCTGGCCATTCTCCACCTCTAGTTGGCCCGTCTGCCCAGCCTTCATCCGGAGCTTCTCATCTGTCAAGCACCTGACCAGCCGGGTGGCCCACTCCTACCCGATCCGGGTAGAGGAAACGACGCGATGACTAGACGGCGGCGTACCAAATTTCCGTAAAAACTTTCCCGCCAACCATACCTGAGGATTCAAAAAATTCATAATTATTCAAACACTTGATTCCCGCCCTTGATGGTGCCCACAAAGCCGAGAATCGGAGGACTCCTTGATGGATATAATCCACTAGTACCACCCGGCAAGTTCACAGGCGCCCGGGGGTACCAAATTCTAGCCCCGCCTGACGGCACCAACCCCGGGAGACTGACCGGGTGGAAGTCACAAGCGCCCGAGAGATCCGAAGTCTGACCCCACATAACCTCACCAACCCCGGTAGACTGACCGGGTGGATGTCAGGGTCAGACATGTGAGATCGTGACTTCATTCGCACAAGGCCTGAAGTCTACCTAGGTGGATAACCTGAAGACTGCCCGGGTGGATGACCTGAAGACTGCCCGGGTGGATGACCTGAAAACTAACCGGGTGGATGATCTGAAGACTGGATGGCTTGAAGACTGACCGGCCGGAAGAACAGGAACGTCGGGACGTGCTTGACGTGCTTGTTTTTATTATAAATATCCCTAAAAGCCTCATTTGTGAGGCATGCTTTTAATTAATCCACACGGCCTGTACTATTGTAATAGTACATATTATCATTAATAACAAGCCGGGTTACAGGTGTTTCCACCTACAACCCTTCCGATTATTTGTACTTAGCATTTGCGTGGTAATTTACACCATCAACTATTATTATTATTATTATTGTTGTTGTTGTTGTTATTATTATTATTATTCTTAAAATGAAAAAAGATTAAACTTTGGAAACAAGTTAAATAGAAAACTGATAAAGTAATCCTTACTTATTAGACGTCGTAAAAAGTATTTTTAAAATACATTGACAATGTCAATCAAATTCTACTTTTAAAATACATTTTATTGTTACTTGTAATTTGAGTTTCCAAAGTTTTGATCTTTTATAGGAATGAGATATTTTAATAAAAATACAATCTCGTCTATATTATGATTATCTAAATTTAATTACTTTTTAATATATTTATAAATTAAATATTTATTTTAATGTATATATGAAATACTCCGTAATTATTAAAATATTAAATTAATATTCTATATGCTACTCTCTCTGTTCTAAAACTTTCTTTCCACATCCCCTTTTTCTCCGTCCTAAAACTATCTTCCCATTAGAAAAAAATGACAATTGACATTAATAACCTCATGTATTTACACCAATTATCTTCTAACTCTATATTTTGAATGATTGTAAAAAAATCAAAACATCTTTTTTAAGAAGGTAAAATTTAAAGTCAAAGTCAAAAATTAAAAATAAGAAAAAGTCAAATTGGGAAGAAAGAATTAGGACCTAATGAGCCACTCCGTTCAGCCTAGTGAGGGAGTAGTTAATAAACAACTTGATGCACCTAGTGAGCCACTCCGTTCAGCCTTCGAACCCCCACCACTCCGCACCCGCATCTACCCTACGAAGCCTGGGAGTGCTCTGCTCGTGCCCCGTGGTTCAATCACTCATAGCCAGTGGTGTACTAGATTCCAGCTGCTTAGGTGACCCAAAATCAGATTTTCTTGTCCGAGTCTATCTCTTCCAACTCAGTCGATTGCCAAGGTATCATCTTTTCCATGTTCTTCTGCGTTTCTGATGTGATCTCTAATGGTTATTTTCTTAGCAAACAAATTAGGTATACCGTTGTTGTGTTACTTTTAGATGCATGATACGAATTGAGCCTGTTTCATGGTTCTTGTTGGCATGTTGCTCTAGATTTTAGATTATTTTAGGGTTTTGGCCAGTTATTTCCCGGGCCTAACAGGAATGCGCCCCCCTATTGGCCTGTTATTTCCCGGGCCTTAAAACGTAAGCACATAAGAAATGAGGGAGTAACTGTAGAAGTAGAAAAGGGAGGAGGGAAGATAGTAGGCAAAAGAAAACAATTTTCGGGGATTGAAGAACTAAACTTGACTGTGATTAATTATATGAGGTTTCTTGATTCTCCATTTGAATACGTAAATTTGGAGCAGATTAAGTTGTACAAAGACAAAATTTTGCTAAATATGCTCATTGAGGATATGCCGGATCGTCGAAGCTATCTTAATTTTTGACTATAGTAAAAAAAAATCTTGGCTCATATTTTTACTCTGTAAACATAGGTTTCCGAGATATTGCAAGTCCACTCTGGGTTTCCGCTGCCACCCCCTAACGTCCATGGATTTTGATTCAACTTATGATACTGTTTGTGTAGCAGATTTTATCCTTCATAAAGGCTTCAAAAGAGTAGCTCTCCAGGTACTAATGTCCACTATCTCTCTAGGATTCAAGTTTGAATTTAGCATTTTTCTTATCTTCATGTGTATATACTTCAATCCTCAGTTCCCAGATGAACTATTGAAGCATTCAACAAAAATAGTAGCGGCGCTGCACAAAAAGATCCGAGCACTCGGAGAGTCAAGTGGAGACACAAAGGATGTCAAATTGTACGTAATGGCTGATACGACTTATGGCAACTGTTGTGTTGATGAGGTTGGAGCAGCTCATGTAAATGCGGACTGTGTTATTCATTATGGTCATACATGCCTTAGTCCGTTAGTAAACCACATCTTTCCTCCATTTTCGTTTTGATAATTCTTACAGTAGTTGCAATTTGAAATTGTCTGAAGTCTGGTACTTCTTTTGTTTCAGGACGTCAGCAATTCCTGCATTCTATGTTTTTGGAAAAGCTTCCATCAATGTTCCAAATTGTGTAGAAAAACTGTATGGATACACATTGCAATTTGAAAAGCCAATTTTGGTAAAGCTTTTGCATATTATTATTATTATTGTTGTTGTTGTTGTTGCCATCATCGTCATTGTCTTTATTAAAAGTTGTCTAAATTCTATGCAGGAGAATATGCAAAGTAGTTGTGTTATACCCTTCATGTATTACCTATATTATTTACTCCCTCCGTCCTAATTTAAATTGTCTGTTTTATATGTAACACGGTGTAGAATTGAAAAATAAAAATTACTTATTTAAAAACTATATCAAACTAGTGGTGACATGACTATATTATTTTATCAAATGACTAACGAAAATAGGGAAAGTGACCCTATGAATAGTAAACATGCAATTTAATTTGATACGGAGGGAGTACTATTTAGTGAATAAGTCATATTAGGTTTGGCCTGTCTATTTGATTTTACTGGGTTGGTTGTTGTTGTAGTGGATAAGTCATAGCATAAATTGCCGACTACAAATAGTCCTAGTCTTTCTGCAGTTTTTCATTTGATTTAAATGCTTGGCGAAGGAGGTTTCTATTCTGTAACAATATCCTTGTATCCATAAAGGGGGGAAATCATGCTTGTTTGTTTAAACTAATGGATCAGTTGGTTAAATAGATGAGAATCTTTTGGATTTGTCACCTTTAATGTAGGTTCTTTATGGGCTTGAATATGCACACGCCATACCAAAGATCAAGGAAGTTGCAATAGCAGAATCTTCAAGATTATATAGCTCATCTAATTTGGAACTTCCTTATGCGGATGTAATAAACTTTGTTACTAGTCCAACAGCAGTTTTTAGATCTGTGGATAACAATCCTGAAGATGTTGACTGTGGAACTGATAATGGAAGTCATTCTAAGGAAACATATACTATAGGAGGGTTGTCTTGGAGCTTAAATAAGGGACATAAGATGAAAGATTATTTGCTTTTTTATATCGGTTCAGACAATTCAGCTTTTGCTAATGTGCTATTGACATTCAACAGTTGTGAACTAGGTAATACTTTATGTTCACTGTCTGCATTTTGGCTTTTGGTAACTCAAATTACTTTCTCATAAATAATTGGTTTCGCATGGGCACATTCATTTTTCTTCCCTTTCTCGGGATAAGCATAAGGGACATTTTTAGGATTCTGATATGTATTAGCAACCTCTACCATTTGATTTTTTACTATATTTACCAAGATGAATAAACTTTTATGTGGCATTAGTGCAAGATGATGGAGCTTTAGGATGATGCTAAAAGCTTTACACATCAATTGGCGTAGGGCATTTAAAGGCCTTGAATATGTGTTTTTTTGCTAGGGAAGAAATTGTTGACACATGATAGGTCTTTGCATGTGTCTTTTTATTGTTCTAAACTGCTTCTTTTTCAATGTGACTTGTGAAATTTCAGAGGCATAAAATGATGATAATGTTTTTTACTTTGACTGATTTTCTATTACTGGAACAATATTTTGCCAGTTTAGTATGATCTTCCTGCCATGAATGCACTTCCGTTGTGTTGTCGTCTATTTTTGACTTGTTTTGTGAATGTCATTAATCATTGTGCTCACGTTGCTGGCTTTGCTCCCAGTCAGATACGATGCAGCTCAAGATTTGTTGGTCACTAACTTCTCTTCACAGAACAAGATTCTTAGGCGTAGGTATTGCATGTCCTTTTTCTGTTAAGTTCCCAGATACTACATGTAGTAAAAACCTCTATAATTGGTATCTTCTTTGCCTTATATTCTTTTTATAAATGACGTGTCCACAGGTATTTTCTAGTTGAGAAAGCGAAGGATGCCGGTATTGTTGGGATCTTGGTGGGAACTCTTGGAGTAGGTAGGTCTATGCATTTCCTATTTAATCATTCTATTGATTTAATCATGCAAATATCATTTTAAACATAAATACATAGAATGATTTTGTTCATATACATTGAAGAAGATATTATACTACTCCCTCCGACCTCCGTTTTGAAAAATAGTTCCAATTTTGACTTTTGACAAATATAAGGGGAGTGTATTTTGTAGTTGATTTCCAATTTTTCCCTTGGATGTGATGGGTAAAAGTTGCATGTGATGGGTAGATTAATAGTAAATAGATATGATGTGATAGGTTTGAAAAGAATTTATAAGGGTAAAATAGACTTTTTAATGGAAAGTGCAAGTGTTTTATGTGAAGAGTGAAAAGTGAAAGTAGAATTGTTTGGTGAAACAGATGGAGTAAAAAATTCCTAAAAACTATAAGAGTAATGCTAACTCCCTCTTGTGGCCTTGCCCCACATTGTTTCTGTAGCTGGTTATCTCCACATGATTCATCAAATGAAAGATTTGATCACAAGGGCTGGGAAGAAAGCCTATATTTTTGTTATGGGTAGGCCAAATCCTGCCAAGCTTGCTAACTTCCCTGAGGCATGTGACTTTACATTCTTGGTTTTTTTTTCACATCTCAAAAAGCAAGAAGGATTCTAAATCCCTTTCCGCGTTTTTGCAGTGTGATGTTTTTATATATGTTTCTTGTGCACAAACAGCTCTATTGGATAGTAAAGAGTTTTTAGCTCCCATTATTACACCCTATGAAGCAATGCTTGCTTTCAATAGGTATGATCTCAAAAACTTGCATGGTTCCTGGTTTTACAAATATAATGTTGTGACATACTCCGTCCGTCCCAAAAAAAGGCTCCCAATTTGATTTGGCACAAAGTTTAAGAAAAGTGAAAATGTGTGGTTGAAAGTGATGAAGAGGAGAGAGAACGATTTGTGAGCCACTCAAAGTTTTTCTTATAAAAAGAAAGAGGAAGCTTTTTTTGGGATGTCCAAAAAGGAAATAAGGAGTATTTGGGACGGAGGGAATAATAATTTAATCAAATACATATCTAATTTACACTACAAATAAGGGTTAAATATATTTTTTGGTCCTCTAAAATGGACGACTTTTGCTTTTGGTCCCTAATAAGGATTAAATATGTTTTTCTCGTTGAAGTCATCCTTGTAATTTTTTTTCTTTTTGCGATATGTCCTCCCATATGATTTTTAGTCCCGAGGATTTCATATTGTACACTCCGTGTTTTTTTGGTCCCTGTAAAATATACAAAGCGCTCCAAAGCGGTTTTGTATTTGGAACAATGATATTTTTGCTCCATATTGACAGGAGGACCAATTGCAAAAATAAAAAAAGTTACAAGGATGATTTCAACAAGAAAACTTTTGTAGGGACCAAAAGCAAATGTTGTCTATTTTACATGGACTAGAAACATATTTAACCCCTAGAAATAACATTACCTTATACTTCGTATCATGGTCTACCAAACAAGACCTAGTTACCTTTCTTGACATATTGCTTTTAGAACATTATCACCTACATTTTCTAAAGGTTTGTAATTTCTAATACTTTTCTTTTCATGTTGATATACTCAGAGGAAGTCAGTGGACCGGAGAATATGTGACTGAGTTCCGCGATTTGCTTGGGTCTGCTCCGGTGGAAGAAAATGAGCAATCAGAGGAAGCAAGATTTTCTTTCCTCCAAGGTGGATACATGGAAGATTTTGATCAAAAAGGTTATTATTTTATTTTATCCATTTCTCTCGATTTTTTCTTTAATACGAGCATTCGTTATCACATTATGGCCTTTATGGGAACAACCACTCTGTGTTTTAGTGGTGTTTCTCTGTACTTATATGTTGGTCAAAACTGTTTATAAACAATTTTTAACTTATAAATCTAATGATGCCATGTTTTCTTGTGCTTATAAACTGGCTTTTAAGTTGCTTATAAGTAGAAAAATAAGTAGGTCTGACCTACTTATTTTTTAATCAGTTTTTTCGTTTCTCCATTTTGACCATATTATTTACAAAACAGTCTTTCACCATTTATGAATATTCTCAAATGACTTATCTATCATTTAAGTTGTTTTACTTCTACAAAAGAATATTTGACTTATAAGCAATTTATAAATTAAAAATTGTTTATGAGCAGCACAGAGAAACATCCCCTTAACATAAAGGTTAGGCTACGTGCATCCGACCCCCAGCCCGCAATTATTGTTATTTGTTGTATTTATGTGGATTTCTTCTTTAAAACGAGCATTCGTCGTCACATTATGAGAACTAGCCTTTGTCTCGCTCTGAGCTTTGGGCATATATTTTCTTGTTATGTTCTTGACGACGATTTTTGAGCAGAGCCCCATGATTTGGAGGAGGAGGAGGAGGATGGAGTTTCTGCATTGGTGAGCATCACACAAAGAGCTCTCCAAGTTCGGGATAGTGAAACGAAGAAGACGATGGTGGGAACAGCAAAGTCAGGGGCAGAATTCTTTGCAGCTAGGTCCTTCCATGGTCTTGACATTCATCATTCTGAGAGCAACACCATCACTGAGCCACTTTTGATGGGTAGGAGTGGGAGGGCCTCGGGGTACACACACGAGCGGACCACGCCTCATACTTAGCCTTCGTTTGGGAACATCGTTTTTAATTATCGTTAGGCCCCGTTTGGTACATGGAATTCAAACTATGGAATTGGGATTGAGGACCTCAATTCCAATTTTGGTGTTTGGTAGCACAAAAATTATGTGAATTTAGAACTGATAGTGCAAAAAATGAACTGGAATTGGTGAATTCAATTCTATGGAATTGAATCTCATGGAATTTCAATTCCAATTCAATTCTAACTCCATCAATTCCATATACCAAACGGATCCTTAGCATTTTGGATTAATTTTTAGCAGTGTATTTTTTGTGGTTTATGTTAAATTTGAGAATGACAAAATTAAACATTGCATTAAGATAACATTTTTGAAATGTTAAGTTAAACGTTGAAGTTGTTGCCAAACAGCACCTAGCCATTCACCCTGCATTTCCATACTTTCAGCAATGATATTTTTTAAAAAATGAAGATTTAGTTGACTACCATTATCATTTTGGTTTATAATATTCGATTGAAATTATTTTTTATTAAATTTATTTGGTAATTGGTGTGAAATTAAATACGATCAATTTTTGAGATTGATATAAAGAATCTGATATAAATAAAACTATTTGAAATATGACGTAGGAAACATTTTGTCTGGAAGAACATGGGTAATGGCTTAGACAATCAATTTTTGAGATTGATATAAAGAAAACTTGCCCATAGTTTTGATTTATCTTCACATATTTTTGAATTTGATACAGATGTTTCAAGCATGGGTTAGATTCTTCATTTTCTTTGACCTATCTCCTCAGCAGAATTGGATTTATCTGCATACTTATTATAATGTGAAAAAAAAATCTACCTTTCTTTTTTAATTCTGCCCAAAATACATACAAAGTAAGTTATTTTTAAAAAAGGAAATGATTATATTCAGATAATTTACATTGTTTCTCTTCTTTTATTTTTCTATCCCAAAAAACATATGGAGTAAGTTATTTTTAAAAAAAAAAATGATTATATATGAATAATTTACCTCATTTACGACAAAGATGCGCGAGAAATCCTTTCTATCTTTCTTTTTAAATTGTTTTACAATGTAATGCAATGCAATCATATAAATAGTGGAAGATGAAAGATCTCAAAATCGATGTGGGACACATAGATTTTTGCACCCTCTTACTCCTTTCAAGTATTCGACTTTGTAAGTAAATTTCTCATTCAACAAAATGCTATTTTTGGCGTGCAATGTATCGAAACACTCTCCTCGTTTTAGAAATTAGTTGTCCATAATTATTTTTAGAAAATAATATAATGAACCCCACCAAATTTATGTCTGAAGTTATCCCGTTATAAACTAAAAATTCCAAGATAAAATCTTTAATGAATTTATAACCACAAGCTTGAAATAGTGCTCACGAATTTGAACCTCCCTCCCGGTAAAACCTTTCATGACAATTGTTTATACTTCGATAAATTTCAACAATACTCTTATTTTTATTTTTATTTTTTGAATTCCCTACAAGTAAAAATTTACTCGTACTCCGTGTGAGATTACTGGAAGATTGCTCTTGTGGAAAAGTCTGTTTGCACTTTTATACGGGGAAGCCGGGAAACCTGTCAGCTTCGATCTGTCAGTGGGCATTAAATCCTCTTTCTTTCTTAATAATCTTTGACAGATAAGCTGGGGAACTCAGCTCTTGGATTCTTTTTATTTTTTATATTCCCAGTTGCTTGATCCATAGTAATGATAGAAACACAAGTGGTATCAGTGAGCATTTATTCTTTTGACAGATAAGCTGGGCACTCAAGATGTCAAATCTTTTCAGGTTTTCCGGGTAAGGATAATAATTTCTTGAACATTTGGAAAGTACCCTTTGCCCATCACACTGCAATTCTGTGTTTTTCTTCCTTTGGTGTCACTATTGTGGATGTTCTCTCTCTTTTTTGTTGTTTATTTTCATAAAGATTCGATCTTTATATTCAGATTCCCCAGTTTCAAGAATCTAAATCCGTTGTGGAAGCAGAGTTGAAGCCATGGGTTCAAGGCTGTTCTTGGTTTTAGTGTTGGGGTGCTTGTTTTTCCAGTTCCTGCCTGAGTATTGTATGGGCAGCATTCAGAACAAAGGCAGGTTGAAACTAGGGTTCAAAGGGTCTCAGATGACTTGGATAGACCAAGATGGAATGATTCTTGTATCGGACAATTCGGGTTTCGCATTCGGGTTCCACCCCACGCAAGATGTCACTTTGTTTCTGCTAGTTGTGATGCATCTGAGCAGCCAAACTGTGGTTTGGTCTGCCAATAGAGCTTCTCCGGTGAGAAATTCTGATCACTTTTTCTTTGATGAAGCAGGGAATGCTTATTTGGGCAGTGGGGGGTCTGTAATTTGGGAGACAGGTACCGCGGGCAAAGGGGTTTCTTCAATGGAACTGAGAGACTCCGGGAATCTGGTTTTGCTCAGTAATGATAGTAGAAGCATTGTTTGGCAGAGTTTCAGCCACCCGGTCGACACTCTTTTGTCGAACCAAGAGTTTCTTGAAGGTATGAAGCTTGTGAGTAGTCAAAACCCCAACAATTTGAGTTATTCCCTTGAAATCAAGTCTGGTGACGTGTTTCTCTCTGCCGGTTTCAGATCTCCTCAGAGATATTGGGCCATGTCGAATGAAAACAGGAAAACCATAAACAAGGTTGGAGAAGATGTTGTTTCAGCCGTTCTTGATTCCAATTCTTGGAAAATGTATGGTAAAAGCAAAGATCTAATCTTGGAGTTCATCTTCTCAGACAAAACAGATCCAAATGTGACATGGGCTGCGGTCTTAGGAGACGACGGGGTTTTGACATTCAGTTTCCTGGAAAGTGGGAGTTCACCTGTCACTTCCCCAACAAGAATTCCACAGGATGAATGTGGCAGCCCGGCAGCTTGTGATCCGTATTTCGTCTGTTACAAAGGGAAACGGTGTCAGTGCCCTTCGTCACTCCCATCTTGCAAACCCATGGCTGATTCTCTTTGTGATGAGCCAAAATCTATGGAGCTCGTGGACGCTGGGGATAATGTCAGTTACTTTGCACTTGGATTTACTTCTCCTTCCCTAACAACTGATTTGAACGGCTGCAAAGCCTCCTGCCTCAAGAACTGTTCATGTGTCGCGATCTTCTTCGACAATAGTTCGGATCACTGTTTCTTGTTTGATCAGATTGGAAGCTTGCAGGGATCTGTTAAGGGTCCTTTGTTTAGAGCCTTTGTCAAAGTCTCGACTGGTCGTGGAACTTCTGGAAATGGTGGGAACGGAAAGAAGCACGTGCCCGTTGTCATTGCCATTGTCATTCTCATTCTCACAGTGATTGTAATTCTCAGTCTAGTTTACGGAGGGTTGCGTTATCACAGAAGGCAAATGACTAAAATGCCCCTGTCTCCTCACAAAGAGGGTTCGGAAGAGGAGGATTTCTTGGAGGGCTTATCGGGCATGCCTATTCGTTTTACCTACAAGGACCTTCAAAACGCTACGGACGACTTCAAGGTGAAACTGGGACAAGGGGGTTTTGGTTCAGTTTACAAAGGTGTCCTCCGCGACGGGACTCCAGTGGCAGTGAAAAAGTTGGAAGGCATTGGGCAAGGGAAGAAGGAGTTCCGAGCCGAAGTCAGCACAATAGGGAGCATCCACCATCTCCACCTCGTGAAGCTTCGCGGTTTCTGCGCAGAAGGGGCCCACAGGCTTCTTGCCTACGAATACATGGCAAATGGGTCCTTGGAGAGATGGCTTTTCCGCGACAACAAAGAGTTCATGCTGGACTGGGACACAAGATTCAGCATCGCTCTGGGCACGGCTAAGGGTCTAGCTTACCTCCACCAGGACTGCGACGCAAAGATCGTGCACTGCGACATTAAGCCTGAAAACGTGCTGCTTGATGAACATTTCCACGCCAAAGTTTCCGATTTTGGCCTTGCCAAGCTCATGACGAGAGAGCAAAGCCACGTGTTCACCACGCTGAGGGGAACCAGGGGGTATCTCGCGCCGGAGTGGATCACAAACTATGCCATATCAGAGAAGAGCGACGTCTACAGCTATGGGATGGTTCTGCTTGAGATCATAGGGGGTAGGAAAAACTACGACCCCTCGCAGAGTTCGGAGAAGTCCCATTTCCCCACGTACGCTTTCAAGATGATGGAAGAGGGGAAGATTGATGATGTCATCGACGCGAGGCTCAAAATTGGCGGGAGTGATGATGAGAGGGTTGCGACAGCGATCAATGTTGCCCTGTGGTGCATACAGGACGACATGTCCGTGAGGCCTTCCATGGCAAAGGTTGTCCAAATGCTCGAAGGGGTCTGCCCCGTCGCGGGCCCACCTGCATTTTCTCCATTCGGGAACCGGCTGTTTTCAAACGCTTTCAAGTCTTTTAGCGACGGGCCCACTTCGTCTGAATACAACAGCGATCTTTCGGCTGTTCGGCTCTCGGGGCCGAGGTAGCCTTACGGTGTGGGACCCGCCCCTTCGCGCCCCGGGGTGCCATTTCAAACTGTAAATTACTACTCATTAGATGTTTGTAAATTTAAGCATGCTAGGGGTTCACCAAAAGTGTATTCCAAGTTGTACCCCAAAGAAATGCACCCACATTTTAACAGTTCATACTGACAGAAAATGTTGGTTCAATTGTAAATCGTCACATTAACATCACACTAACACAAAATGTCGATGCATGCTTTTGGAGTACAAAATGGGGTACAAATTTTGGTGTACAAATAGCTTAATTGTTTTTTTTGTTGATGGCATGGAGTAAGAAGGCTTCTTGGTGCCTAATTGGATTCTTGTTGCTAACTGGTAATAAGAGATGGGCATGTACAGTTGGGGGTAGTTGATGGAATTTGTGAGCACACACATAGATATGTTATGTAGGCCATTTCTGTGTTTTCTTCTTCTTGATGAATTGACTTAAATGACCTTGTTAGACATCTCATTTTGAAAGAAATTGGAAAAATAGATTTGAATATTAAAAAAACTAGAAGGAGCGGAAAGAAATTGGAAATATAGAGTTGGATATTGGAAGAACTGGAAGGAGTTGAAACAAATTGGAAAGAATTGGAAGAAAATGAAAAGAGTTAAAAAACTGAAAGTGGCGTGCATATATACCACTATATACCAGTTTCCCTAGCAATTCACAATAGGTTCATCAAAACTCTTCTAATTTCGTTTTTACTTGTAACACTTTATCTTTTCAAAATGATTTTATTTAAAAATTGATATAAACTAAAAGTTAAGCAGCCTTAAACTTACATATTTTAAAATTACGTCAAAACTTACATATTTTATCAAATGATTGATAAAAAGCACACATAAACAATAGTTATCGAACACTCTTGAATAGTAAACAATAAGGGTTTTGGTGAATAGAGTACTTCGTAATTTTTTATATATAAGCAACTGGGCATTATTCCCTTATTTAACCTAGACTAACTAATACATCAAAATAGAAGGCAAGTGCAACAAGTTGCGCCGTTAGCCCAGTCATAACATAATTATGCATGACCTGTTGGACTCGACTTGGCCCCAGGTGCAAGGAAACCAAAGGGGTCAAATTCAAATGGTATAAACACATATTTATTGTCAAAGCACACTCTTTTGTGTTTGATCACTTTATATAAAGCAGCTTTTAACGTAACATCATAGCCTGACCCACTAAAAAAACATACTCGGGTACATTAGTACCCAAGCTGACAAGATTTTGTAAATAGGCAAAACGTAAAGGCCTAGATGTTTAGTTGAAAAGTATTTTCTTATAGATTTTGTAAATAGTAAGATAAGATATGATAGGATACGGTTACACTTAATGATATCAGTTTCTTGACAAATTCTATGATAGATCTGAAGTTCAGCATAGACTTACATATGAGTAAAATAAGTATTTGCTCAATAATTTATTAAAATTTAATTAAAAGACAAATAAATTTGTTAGAAAATAGAAATAGAAAAAAGTTTGCAACTACAAATTTTATTTTGGAAAAAATTTGAATTGAACATTAAATTTACCCACCCAATTGTCGATTTACTTTTTTACTATTACGACTTTCCAACAATTTTTCTTTGTTTGCATGTTTTTATTGATCAAGATAAAATATTTTTCACCTTTTGTGTTGTAAAATTTTTGATATATATTTAAATAAGCTTTAATATTTTCTTTTATTATTTTAAAAGTCACGAGATTTTATACATTATTTTTAGATATGGGGCATTATTTTTTAAGAAAAGAAAAAGAAAAATAATTTGTTGCAAGTTGTAAGTTGTACGGAGTAAGTTTTTAACGCACTCGTGAAGTCGTGGGCCGTTACTCGTGATTTTTTTTTCTTTTTTGGTATTCTAATAAAAATCCCATTTTCAAAAATCTTGGTAAAATTCCTAAAAACCGTCAAAAATTGAAAAAAGAAATGAAAAAAAAAAATGAAAATCATCAACCCATTTCTAACTTCTACCCTGGACCCTGGCCTCTGCTCTCTCCATCTCCCCAAATGCCCTCTCAGATCCTCGTTGATTCAATGGCTCTTTGATCATTACAAAGGTTCTCTAGGTAAACCCATGTTCTTCATAAGGATTAAAAGAGAGTTTTCCTCATTCCAATCTCTCTCGCATACGCGTATCTGCGTGCATTCATCTTTGCTTGTGAGTTTTGTGTGGATATCTTTGTTTTATGAATGAGATTCTACAGGGGTTTCACCAGATGTTGAATCTGGGCATGTTAAAGATTGGATCTTTTCTTTTTGGGTTGGGAAATATAGATGAGTATATTTGTTTTTCTTCAGTTTTGTCCTTTTCTGGCGAGCATTTTGCTTGAGATGACAATATTTGTATTCTCTTTTCTTTGCATCTGTTAGGTAATAGTTTTCTTCCTCCTTTTAGTATTATGTTGTTACTCAAAATTTAACCTGAAAAGCTTCTTTTTTTCCTGCACTTTTTTTAGTGCAACGTTCTGCAGAATGGTACCCGTAAGTAGGCATGTTTTTTATTGAAATGAAATTTTCCTCTTGTGTAAGACTACAAGCATCTTGTTTAGCAATTTTTACTGTCAAGAAAGAAATGTTGATTTTTCTTCTTTGAGTTTCTATGACATTTTATTGATGTGAAATGTATTGGGCAAATCGGTTTCATCTCTCTATATTTCCTTGGGGCTGCCATTTTGGGGTTGGAGGGAAGGGTGCTTCTTACATCTTTGCAGGATTCACTATTTATGTAAGGGTGGCTTGTAGGCATACTTGCATTTCTTAAACTTGTGGATCCTAAAACATCATACATCTCTGGAAAATTCAGCGCTTATCCTAGCAGTTAGTGGGTTGCAATCTTGCAAGTTGCAAAGACCTGATGGATGTAGATGATAACAAATTGGCTGTTGAGAATGGGATGGGCAGTGAAGCTGAATTGCACCAACTTCCTAGTGATGAAGAAGATGTTATTGGTGAAAAGTCTGATGGGATTCCCAATGGACACTCTACTGTTGAAGACCTAGAAAGCCATTTGAAGTGCAAAGTAAATTTGAATGGAGATGAAGCTCTTGACTCATACATCCAAGATGTTAAAGAGATATCAACCGTGCCTCTAGAAAGCAACAATGCTTCTGGCTCTAAGGTACCCTTTTTTACTAATCCAACAATTAATTCTTTTCCATTTAGAACCACTGAACCACATCATGTGTAATCCATTTATTTTTAGTAGGAGTCGGAAGTTTCATGTTCTGGAGAGCCCAAGAGTGGAAAAGTAGAAAAGGCTCTCGGAAAGCCTAAAAATGGTAAACCTTTGAGCCTCACTGGGACAAAAAAGGGACAGTTTGGAAAAGATGGTTCGTCCAGTCCCGTGATCTTAAACGGATCAAATACCTTGGGAGCATGTGCTAAACAATCATCTGTACGTAAGGCAAAATCTTTTGACGAGAGAAAAACTGGTGAGAGTAATTCAAAGCCAGGGTCTCCTCTTGTTAAGACTAATCATGCTAAGGTATGAGATGATCTTCCCAAAGGTTTATGTCGTTTATATCTTAGTTTGTATGTGGGCACTCTTTTTATGTGCTTCGGTTGATGATTGTTTCTAACCATGTGTTTGATTACTTGTCAAACTATTTCCTTATGTTTAGCAGCAGTCTGGACACCCTGACATTACATCTCCAAGTGATGAACAGCTTGAAGGGGTTAAGTATGTCAAGTTTCCCCTAGTACTCCTAGTAGTCACATTTTATTCACAGTTTAGCTTGAACTATGTCAACTCTACTTGTAGCATTATTCTAAGAGACTTTATGTTCCTCTGTAGTCAACTTTTTTTAAACTATATTTTCTAATTTACTTTGAATTAACTATAACGGTTTTCCCAGTGGCAACAACTTTTGCTTCAAGCAGTCTTCTGATATGTGATTTTTTACTTCAGAGAAAAGCCTTCGCTGAAGTCACTGAAGAAAGGGCCTCCAATTCCTCTGAGTAAAGCTGAAGTGGCTCAATCTGCTCTGTAAATCCTGCCACAACAATGTTTTTCTCTCCTTTAAGAATTTTAGAACTCTTAAAAGTATTTTGTAGTTTACTTTCCTTTGGGTTATCTTTAACCATGTTACAGAAGTCCTACCACTAGAGATGCGAAGTCTTGCAAAGCTGGTGCTCTTCCAAATTATGGTTTCAGTTTCAAATGTAACGAAAGAGCAGAGAAAAGGAAAGAGGTTAGCTTTGAGTGTCGCAGGAAGTACTGACTTTCAACTGCTATATGCTATATACTTCAGTTTGATTTAATATTTTTTTGTAATGGTTAGTTCTACTCTAAACTTGAGGAAAAGATACATGCAAAAGAAGTGGAGAAGACTACTTTGCAAGAAAAGACCAAGGTGTATATTAGCATCATATTTGTTGTATAGTAATTTAAAGCTTTGGGTTCTTGAAGGTGTTGTGCATTTGGTGTTTGCCACTGTCATCATTTAATTTCTCAACAGCAATCCCAGGAAGCTGAGATCAAAATGCTAAGAAAGAAATTAGCTTTCAAAGCAACTCCAATGCCAAACTTCTATCAAGAACCTTCGCCTCCTAAGGTGGAGCTGAAGAAGGTTAGATGTGTTTTTTGCATGAATTTATTGTTCTATACAATTAATTGGCATTTTAAATTTAAAGCCTGATGCCACCGACCAAACTAGTTGTCATTACTGTGATAAATTATTAATGATAATAATGGAAGTGTGGAGTTCCTTTCTGTGCATCATTAAAAACACAAGGAATTGTACTTAATTTAACTTAAAATTAAGGCATAGAGTATATATACCTGTTGTGAGACCTTTTGGAGTCACCTTGAGCTAGCTTAGTCTTTACATAGAGGATGCCAGAGTGTCTTTGACTTCTCTTTGGAGGCTATAGCAGCTGGTCTACAAGGCACCAACAATCATAGGTAGTTAGCTAAACCAATATACAGGACATAGATATACTTCAACATTTCGATGTTGCTCCTTGAAACCATATATGTTTCAAATATACAAGACTTAAACATATATGTTGTAATTTTTCTGGAAACATTCTCAACTGAACCCCTTAATACAAATGGCTTTCTATTTCTACTTGATATGAATTACTTGACGAATTGCCTTTTGTGTGGTATTTTAGTTTGGCAGCTGATAACATGTACTCCGTATTTGATTTGTAATTTGAACTAAACTACAAACTTGAAGTTTGAACTTGTCTAGAACTTAATTGGACTATTATTGAAACAGTTCGAATTTGATTGTTGAAACTCTAAACTTAAAACCTGACCTTAAATTGGATATAGTTGAACAAGAACTAGTTCATTACTGCAATAGGAAAATGTTAGCTAGAGTTGGTCATCTTATGGTCATGT